CCTGTCCACAGTGACTGCCCTTAGCACACTCCCTGTCCACAGTGACTGCCCTTAGGCACACTCCCACCAACACTGTACCAGTGCTTCCCTGGCAGCATCTGCTCTTTTCTTTTCAGTAATAGCCATTTTAACTGGAGAACGCCCCTTTTCTACTTTATTATCTGTCTTTCTTTGCCATCAACTTAGGGATATGGGATTGAAACATAGTGCTGAGAGCCACAGGCTGCACGAGACACTGAAGGGTAAGCAAAGTGTCTCTTGATCTGTTATAGCAACAGTGTGGGGTGGGCACTGTTCTCTCCTCACGACGTGACCTCCACTTGCCTAATCATTTTAACATTTGTTCAGTCAGAGATAGAGCCACATCCTGAGGGAGAAGATGGGCCACATCACAGGACAGGCAGCTGAATATTTTAAATGGCCATATGAGTTTCTGAGCCTACTACATTCAAAGCATCTGAATTGTAAAGGAGGACTCTATATAGACAGGGGCGCTACTTCAGAGGGGGACTCAACCCCATCAGTCAGGGGATGCAGAGGCACAGTGAGATGAGGCTCGGATTTAACAATGCTCAGTGTCACTTGACTCTTACTGGATGACACAGAGGACAATATCAGAGAAAGGCAGCTGGTGCTCATCTGGGGTTCAGGTTTGTCCTGATTCCATTTCCAGATGGAGACTTCCTGGGTGCTCGACCTTGGAGAAAACACACAGTCTCAGTAAGACTAGGTGCTGTCATCTCTAAAGTAAGATACTATTCTTTATTGTTCTTAGAATATATAAGTATACATTTATTTTTTATTAGAGAAAGGAAAGAGAGTGGGTGAAGAGATGAAGAGAGAGCAGAGAGCAGGGAGTGAGAGAAGGGAAAATGAGTGGGGGGAGAAATGGAGCCAGAGAACGGCACAGCATCCCAGAGAAAGGTCGGGTCATGCCAGCCCTGGGGTCCAGCGTGAAGACGCTATTTGAATTAACTTTCCTCTAGTTTAAAAAAAAAAAAAAACCCTTCTTTTTCTCTCTGATTATTCACCTCTAATGACCATATTTGCCTTAATGGTATCTTTAAGGCAATTTAGGCTTTTTAATGTTATGTGCCTCAAAATACTTCCAGCCTCTACAATTGCACAATTCTAAATTTGCTGCTGCACCTTCACAGACTGTATTTATGACACTAAAGCCTTCCCTCACTCCCAGAATTTGAGTTAGTTTCCTGTGACTCTGGTCACAAAGATTCACAAACTAGGTGGCTTAAAACAATATACGTTTATTCACTTGTAGTGCTGGGGGCAGCACCATGACCTCACTGCCCTTCCCTGCCCTGGTGAGCTCTGGGGCCAGAGGAGGGATGCAGTCTCTGCCCCACTCCCAGGTGATGGTCCCTTGGGAGACCCCAGGTCATTTTTCCAGCCAAGCAAAATGAGCGATCAGGTGAATAGATCAAATTTCTTTCCTCTGGGAGGATTTCATGTCACCATTAGCCTTCAGAGATATCCCAGAAAAGGGAACTCCATGCCTCAGATGTCCACCTTGGGTGGTGCCTGCACATCACAGAGAACCATCTGGAGCCTTCTTATCTTCTCTCAGCTGATCACAGGGAAACCCCTCACAGACACACAGAGCGGGAGAGGTGTTCTGATAGGTGTTAGGTCAATTCCAAAGATGCATTCCAGAACCAGGAATGTAGTTGCAGGATCAGTTTGTAAATCCACTGAATCTACAAGGAGATAAACTTAAGCTAAAACTCCACTAATCACCTGACCGCCACATGTGACAGGAGTGTCACAGTGATGATTTGTATCTCCTGGAATTAGACTCAGTTCAGAATCAGTGTCCGATATGTCTGATAATCTCCATTCCCCAGACAGCCACCCTGGTAAAATGTCCTAAGTCATTTGGGGAAGACTGAAAAAAAATCAATAGTGTGAATTCCCAGCAGTGTATCAGGAACCAGCTCCACTCCCTCAAAGGGACCTGGCCTTCCCTTTCACTCAAGTGGTTCTGAGTCTACAAACTGCCTCAAGTCTAGGAATTCTTTGATGGGCTGTAGTTTTCTGTTTTTGTAATGCAGGACAGACCTTTTATCGCCCCTCATAGAAATTTTCTGCTTATACAGCTCTGTGAGGATTTAGTGCATTTCCTGTCAATGTATTTCAATTCGTGGAACACCACAATCAACTAGCCAAACCGCATAGAGCTGCATGAGTCAGACCATGCTGAGGGCTGCTTTGACCCCCCTGTCCATCACAGCATCCACAGCCACCTTGCCTTTGGTAGTTGAGTTCTGCCACTTGACTCTGACACTCTGGGATTGAATTAGCCCCATGGCCTTCAGGCTTCCCAGTTGAGTGTCTGCAGTTTCCACTGTAGGTTCTGATTGACAGGGAAGAGCAAACTCAGAGCTCTTAGGAATGCCAGGCCTCCCTCACAGATTTATCTCACAATGTTGTTAAAAGGTAAGTATGGGTCTCCTGGTGTGGCTGAGTAGGTCTTAATCATTAAATCTTCTATGATATTACAGTTTCCCCCAAGTCTTTGAATATTAGCCTCTGCAGTAAACCAAGGCAGCTCTGGCTTTTTCATTTTCTTTGCTTTGACCCAGTTTTTTCTCCATGTTACTGTCAATCAACCAGACACACTGCAGAACCATTTCTACCCCCAAGGATGCTCCATTCAGTGCAGAGTCTCTGCTTAGTGGTCCCACATCATACATTTAGCCTGACTCAACTTTGTGTTCCTTCCACCATTAACCCCCACCAGTAATATTCATTCTCACACATGATCCTGAGATTTCTGGGTGGATAACAGAAAATTTAGTAGTTACATTAGAGCATAGCACCTGTCCTCATAGGTTACCCTTTGTGTCTCACCTTAAGAACCTACTGGGACTTGAATCTCATTGCAGGTATACAAGCAAAGAGACAGATTAGAAGTGAGTCCTTAGGAGAATCAGCTTTGTCTTGCATGGCAAATGCATCAGAGGAGGCCAGTACCATTTCCTTAGACAAAGCAATGTTAACATGCACAGATGGGGGCAAAGAGGCTGCTTCTACTGACAAAGAAGGCTAATCAATACTTGAGGACTTAGTGCCAAACATCATGGGGGTCTTCCACACCTACTGATGCCAAATTTTACATCCCACTCCTTCCCAATCAGTGTGTTCTTCTCTTTAGAAGAACAGATATTCTATGACCTGGAATTCTTTTTTTTTTTATTAAATGATAGCTGTATACATTAATGCAAACATGGGGTACAGTGTAGTGTTTTCATATACAATTTGAAATACTTTCTTCAAGCTGGTTAACATAGATTTCATGTCATTTGCTTAGTCATTGTGTCGAAACATTTATATTCTAGTTCTAGAAAAGTTCACTTGTACCCTTGTTAGACAGATATATAGGTGATCTTTCCGGTCACCCTCCCACCACC